TCGGCTGGAGGGGGCAGAGGGGGAGGAGGGGGGAAGGTGAGGGAAGGTTTGCTGGAAGCGGGAGGCGGTGGAGGGGGAGCGGGAAGGCTGGGCCGGCCGGGGCCGGCTGCGGCTCGGGGGGGGCCGGGAGGATCCGGGGGGACGGCGGCTGCCCTCGGAGCTTCGGCTGGGTGCAAGGGGACCCCCTTCACAGCAGGGGATCCCGGCGGGGCGGGGGTCCTGGGTGCCGCTGCTCGGGCTCCAGGAAGCTGCCCAGGCCTCCCAGCTGAAAAAAAAACAAAACACTTATCACATCGACAACATCAGGATTTCGTTCCCACAAAACGATGCAAAGAGCAAGCTCTTCATCTCCCCCTCCCCAGCGGTTCCCCCGAGTGATCAATTCACCCAAAACACCTCATATCCAGCAGCCTGCCCCTGGCGTCATGGGGCTCAGGAGGTGATGTGTTCCAGTGGGCACCAGGGACCCTTGGGCTTGCCTTCCAGGCACAAAACCACACAGGGAGAGCCAAGTTCTGTCTTCCCTGCAAATGTCTGCTATGACGACCTGCTGAGAGACCCCGCTCCCCAGTTTCTGCAAAATGGAACAGTTTAAGGAGAGGGTGCTTTGCTGCAGAGGCCTGGGGTCCTCCATATCAGGCTCATCTGCCACCCACAGCCCGCTGAGCAGGGATGGGATTGAGAGTCCCAGTGAAAAGGCCTCAAAAACCACAAGCAGATCGACACACATCAGCTTGAAGTACTTAAGATTAAAAAGTTCACACAAACCTTACATAAATCTCAATCCCGTGGATAAATGCCAGGTTCTTAAAAGCAAATTGGCCCCTCCCAGACCAATTGGACCGGGACCTACCATGGCCTCAAAGGCTTTCCAGGAGGCACAGGTTCTAATGTTTCCTTTTCAACAGCAAATGCCCAAAGACCCGGCCTCGCAAAATGTGTTTTCCTGAGTAAATGTCGAGGATTTTTCACAAAGCAAGATGCCAGAGGAGGCATCTCATGCTACGTCCACGCAGGCTGACAGGCACGGGTGCAGTTATAAGAACAACTGGAAGCAGCTGCTGCAGCTGAGGTGCAGGAGGAAGCCCGGTGAGCAGCTCGCGCTTGCCTTCCAGGAAAAACCCACCCAGGTAGAGCCAAGTTCTGGCTTTCCCCGCAAACGCCTGCTTTGCTCTGTGCTGCCTGAGCAGGCACCAGCTGCCCAGCAGCGCCACAGGCCATTGCTGGGACTCTAAAAGTCACCCCTCACTGATGCTGGCACATCCTGAGGTGACAGCAGCGGTAGGGCTGCCCTCACACATGCCTTCCTCCTGCCTTTCAGAAGTGACAAGCGCCTTATTTTTCAGGTCAGTAAATTACCTTGCTGGATCAAAGCTATGCTTTATAAAATCCAGAGGGCAGAAATCTTAAATATCAATCCTTAAAATAACACACAAACACACGCTAATGAAGGGAAGGAAATGGGGCTGCTTTGCATTTGTGCTGAAGTTGGTAAGCTCAGGTTTCAATACTCTATTCAAGGCACAATTTTAAACTAATGTAAAAAAATCTCCATTAAAACTCTGTACAATCTACTCAGTCCCCTTCTTACCCAGCGTAGACATAGTCTATTATTGACATTTTAAGGAGTAAGGCACCCGAGATCTAGGAAGATGATTTCAAGCACATTATTACTTGAGCCTTCCATGGTGACAAGTTGAATTAAGGGTTCATAATAAATATCACTCTCTAAAGCTAACCCCAACGTATCTTCATCCCAAATCGCAGTTCCCCCCAGCTATTCTTTCACACAACGAAGCCCTTACCTGACATGTCCCTCTGGCCTGCTGGTCTGAGAACAGGAAAGCCACCAGCAAATAAACCTCCCAGAGGCTGCTGAGAGCCTCCCAGAGGCTGCTGAGAGCCACCTTTATTAATGGCTGCAGGAACTCCATCTCTATTAGCTCCTTTGGGTTCTGTTAAAAAAAATAAATAAATTAAAAAAATCACAAATTCCCCCAGGGTTTATCAGAAAGTCACTTCATCCTTGCTCTCAGACTGCTAAGATGAACACACACAGCCAAGACCAGAGTTTTCCCTCTTTAGGCAGGCTCAGGGAGGAAAGGTGCTGTCCATGCAGTGAACTGCCCTTCTCTCACCCGTCCCTTGCAGCACAGCACCCTCTGGTGCTTTTTAATTGCACACCAGTGATGACACCGGCAAGAAGTTGTGTTAGGTTACATAGAATCATATCATAGAATCAATCAGGTTGGAAGAGACCCTTGGGATCATCGAGTCCAACCATCTACCCTACTCTACATAGTCCTCCCCTACACCATATCCCTCAGTACCCCATCTAAACGTCCCTTAAACACATCCAGGGATGGGGACTCAACCACCTCCCTGGGCAGCCTATTCCAATGCCCAACCACTCTTTCTGTGAAAAATTCCTTCCTAATGTTCAGTCTAAACCTACCCTGTTGGAGCTTGAAGCCATTCCCTCTTGTTCTGTCACTAATTACCTGTGAGAAGAGACCAGCGCCAACCTCTCTACAGTGTCCTTTCAAGTAGTTGTAGAGAGTGATGAGGTCTCCCCTCAGCCTCCTCTTCCACATACTAAACAGTCCCAGCTCCTTCAGCCGCTCTTCACCAGTTTCGTTGCCCTCCTCTGCACTTGCTCCAGCACCTCGATATCTCTCTTGTATTGAGGTGCCCAGAACTGGACACAATACTCGAGGTGTGGCCTCACCAGTGCTGAGTACAGGGGCACAATCACCTCCCTACTTCTGCTGGTATTTTATTGGCATTCTGCTGGTAATTTACTGGCATTTTTTCCCGATTTTTTTTTTGCCATTTTTTGTTCTTTTGATCTAGAAAAGAGCAACCCTTTTGCCCGAGCTAACAATTCCCACTTAAACAATTATTTTATTGAGAAACTCTCAAGGATTTCATCATTCATGATTTTTTTTTTTTTTTCACAAGGAATGCTTGTTAAGGTGATATCCAGTTATAGACTCATTCTGAAGTGTTAATAGTTCCTGACCTTAGAGCAGGACGCAAGGTTAGAAGGCACCCCCTCTCTCTGCACCCTAAAGCCACGTGAAGATGCAGACCTTTGCTGGACTTCAAACCTGCCCAAAAGTGTCAAACTGACCTCCACAACCTTCAGCAAAGCCCATCCATGGGACCTTGCCCAGGAGCACGTACTTACTTTCAATCTGTGGTGCACTTCGGTCATTGATTTGAGTCACCTTCCTCAAGCGAGTTCCCTGCTGGATATCAGCCAAGAGCGCGTTCCGTGCTTTCTGCTCGTCCTTTTGCAATTTTGGTATCTCTGAACTTGCCTGTTGACAATAAGAGCAATAGACAGGAGGTACAGACAAAAATACATGCTAGGAAAGGGCACGTAAGCAAACGTGGGATAAAAGATTTGAAATATACCATCCTTGGCAGCTGTCATTTCACAGCCTTTTGAGCTGAATCAACACGAAGAGCATTCAGTTGTATAGGAAACAGGAAAGCTGAAAGTTTAAATTTAACACAAATCTTATGCTAGCTGTGCTAATGCTGTTGAAAAGAAATTAAGGGACAGGCTGAAATGGAATGTGACCCCTTGCTTGGCAATTTATGGGCTCTGCCCCCCCAAAGCCAGCTCTTTAGCTCTCTTCATTCTATTTACAATGCTTTACAACAAAGATTTTATATGTCACCTCAGAATAAATATCCTTCTTTTACCTACTTTGCCTTAGGAAAAGAGACAGGTAATTGCATACTTATATTTGAATAAGATCATTAACTAATTTAGAGTGTATTGGAGATTTACATGAGATTAGGTGGACTGTCTTTAGAAGAATACCATTATATTTTAGTAACTTTTCTAGCCTAATTAAGGTCCGTAAATGCAAAGCCAGGCTGTAGTTTAAAATGTTTTAATACACCCCCAAAATATTTTAAGTCTTTATTCTTATTTCATCAAGTTTCCTGCTATTAAAAAAAAATAAAAATCTTTAAAACATTTGGACATTTTGCTTTCCTGAAGCAGATATAAACCAGCAAAGCTGTTACTTCTAAACCTGTCCTGTGGTTACAGAGAGCTCCAACAGAGGGGAATCCTCATGTCAGAAGAGCTGAATGTGCTGCGTGTGTCCACAGCTACTGCAAATTCCCATAGCTCAGGTAAATTCCTAAGGAGCAGGAATACCAGAAAAGTTCCCATAGCCCTTAAAGTTCCCAAAGCCCTAAAAGCCATACTTTTAGCATCAGAGTAATAATAAAGCAGAACAAAAGTGTCTCCCATTAAAATGAAACACCCAACTTGGCAATACCATTCTAGAAGCAAAAGAGAAACTTGATAATACTTAACCAGCTGCTGAATTAATAAAATGTCTAATTTGCTAATCCTAAATGAAGAATTATACCGGTAGGATATCACTTGCAGTTATTTTTGTACCTGCTGAAAAAAAAAATTCAGTCTAGATGTGCAGAGCCCCACTAGATGGCACTCCAGATCGCTGCCACCACCAGCGGCATTCCTGACACCTGATGTAAAAACTCAGAATTGTCATCTTGTGACCCACACTGTAATCATATTTATTTAAAAATATTAGAAAAAACCTACTAATTTGAAACAGCTCTGCCTGTCCTCATGCTTTCAGGACAGCGAGTTCCGCTGCCCATTAAGAAGGCAGAAAAGCTGCCTGTGCAGGCACCGTTAGACCATGTACCAGCCACAAACTACTTTCAGCCACGTTTTCTATAAGTTGACCATACTTACTGTGAAAAATGGAAACACCATCACTGGAACAAGGGTGACCTCCCTTCTCACAAAAGCGTTCAACCAGTATCTTGAACTTCACCCCTCTCTACTCCCACTAGCAGGACAACCAGGATCTAGAGGGATCTGCTGAAGACCTATGTTTAAAATTAGATCCAGCAGCTGTGTTTTCGCTTCCCGGTTCAAGTGTCTGTATGTTATGCCAGCTGTCCACTTCATCACCTCCATCTACGCCTCTGAGCATAAAGTCCTGATATCCAAATAGCTATTAGGCTAAAACACCCTACTCGTGGCAGCTGATGTTCGCAAGGGACTTGTGTCTTGGTATCACTTTAACATGGCCAGCCTGTCCTCACGCTTTCAGGACAGCGAGTTCTGCTGCCCATTAAGAAGGCAGAAAAGCTGCCTGTGCAGGCACCGTTAGACCATGTACCAGCCACAAACTACTTTCAGCCACGTTTTCTGTAAGTTTACCATACTTACTGTGAAAAACGGAAACACCATCACTGGAACAAGGGTGACCTCCCTTCTCACAAAAGTGTTCAACCAGTATCTCGAACTTCACTCCTCTCTACTCCCACTAATGACTTTGTTGTAGCAGGACAACCAGGATCTAGAGGGATCTGATCAAGACCTATGTTTAAAATTAGATCCAGCAGCTGTGTTTTCGCTTCCCGGTTCAAGTGTCTGTATATTATGCCAGCTGTCCACTTCATCACCTCCATCTACGCCTCTGAGCATAAAGTCCTGATATCCAAATAGCTATTAGGCTAAAACACCCTACTCGTGGCAGCTGATGTTCGCAAGGGACTTGTGTCTTGGTATCACTTTAACATGGCCAAGATACTAATTTTTTTTCAGAATCCATAGCACAAAAAAGCAGGAGCACTATTCTGTAGGCCCATAATGCAGCATAAGAAGCTGCCTGCATCTCGCAATAGATCCCCTTCCTTCAAGCACGTCTCCGTCCCATGTCCCAGCTGTTTCTCCTTCCTCCTCCTGCAGGCGAGAGATACCATCTTCCATGCCCAGCCTGGTGGACCCGGGTGATTGATTCGTTGCCAAGTAGCTTGATAGGGATTCTCTTTTTCCATTACAAAGTCAAGGTGGTCCGGGGTGTAGTGTTGCCTGGCTACACAGCGGTCAGAGCCCCTTTGGATTTCTGGTTTGCTGCCTGCACTCCCAAGGCTGGTGACAATTCTCCTCAAGAACCCCTTCACCAGGTAAGTTTGTCCCTCACTCATCTACCACTGTCCTGCATCTGCAAGTTCTTGGTTTTACCATACTGCTCTTTGCTACACAATTGGAAAGGAACCTTCCTTTGATTAAGAAATAAATCTGGGATTCACCCTCACGCTATGCCTGCAATCCATAGCACAGGAACAGATACCAAGCTATTAAGTTGTGTATTAAGAGAAAATAAAAAGAGGAACTCATGGGTGTCAAATCTTCAATCCTGATTACATGCAGTAGAAGAGTTTGAGCAGAAAGACAAACATATTTGGAGTCACAGAGGAAAACCAGCTGCAAAACAAATGATGTAATTTATAGGCTACTTTCTACCCCCTCCCTCTGCAGGGCAGCCTCATTTATTTACAAAAAGAGAAACATCTCAATCTTTCAATGAAAATCGGAAGAGAAGCCGGAGAAGAATGTGCAGATCATTTGTTTTATCAGATGCCAGAGCTGCCTCAGGTAACACAGGGTGAAATTAAATTCCATACTTTATTTACATGAATTGGTAAGGGAACGGTGGGTTCTCATTACCTTAGTAACCATGAGGTTATTCTGCTGCTATGTCAGACATAAAGCACGGCACATTCAATGCCTACTTGGAAACAGAACGGAACAAACCACACATGGAGATACCCTGAACATAAAAGAACTACTCTCATCTCACCAAACTCTGCTACTTTTGTCTTCAGTGTCCCAAATTACACCCTCAGCCATGCCACTCACTAAGGTAAAGGATCAATGTTTGGGCTACCTGACAAGTCTCCAAACTGTAACTGTAAACAGGAAAATACCATTAAATCACAATATTTAGAGTAAACCATCCATGATGGAAACAAACATTTTGCAACTTGCAGGTGGTAACTTAGAGCAGAGAAATGAAGGAGGACAGCACGGTTATTCAGAGAGATCCCAATCACTGCAACTTGAGGCCATTCGAAAAGAACAACAAATCCAAAACATGCTCCCCCACTGCTTGGGGGGAGGGAGGAGAGAAGGAAAATAAGAAAATGCACAATATACAAATGTAAAAATAACTGGATGAAAAGTTCTGGCCATACCTCTGCGGTGACAGCCTGCATCCCGAGTGCCAGAAGCCTGAACCTGGCAGTGGGCTCCAGCAGTCAGCCCGCACGAGCGAGTGTGCCTGACCCCCTGGCACAGTGCAGGAGGGGACAGCACGCTCCTCGGATGCATTTCATCCTTTCAGAAACAATAATGCCAGCAAAAATGGAACTACAAGTCCAATTCTGGTCTCCAGATCTTTAAAATGATGTTGAAAAACTGGAGATGCACAGGAAAGAGCCAATGTGGCATTCAAAAAGCTGGGGGAAAACAGCTTTTAGCAGCTCAGTCTGGTCCGTCAGCCCTGAGGTCTGTCCGAGGGGTGGGCTGCCCACACAACACACAAACCTTTATGGGGAAATGATGGTGAGGAGCTGGGGTGTGTTAATCCAGCAGAGGCAGGCATTTGGTGAATTAGTGCAAGACACAGCCAGACAAGCTCCAATGAGGAAGCAGCAAGTGCAGGAGCAGCCAGAGGGACCTTTCCCCGCAAGAAAGGGCTGCAGGCGGCAGCAGGTTATCCATTTATTGGTTTTCGGATCAAAGCTGGATCTTCTCTGGCAGAAGCCCTTTTTGTGGAGCACAAGTCATTGGGCCCCCCCAACAGAGCTACTTGCTGACCCACAATACACCCCACAGCGGGGAGATGGCTGGTGGGTCCTAACAGTTCCCTCCAGTTTTGAGTTCCGTGAAAACGAATCATTTTGTTTAGCAGAACAACTCTATTTACGCTACATCTACGGACCATGCAAAGTTTGGCACTGGGCTTAAATCCATGGCAATGAGCTCCATTTCTGGGTACGTTGCCGTTGTGACACTTGCATCACCTTGGGAAAATCACTTTACGTCTTGCAAGACGGATGGGAACATCGACCTACCCTCTGGGCTCCTACAATACTTAAAATATTTAAGAGGTATACGTGTTCAGACACTAAAATGGTGTAAATGCAGAGGTCATCGGGCATTTGAAAAAAAATCATAGTAGTACGAAAAATAGAGAAATACTAATTACTATCTGTCAGATTTGAAAGAAGACCCCTGCACACAGGAAAGGGGAAATCTTCTGGACTCTGGGCAGGGATTTCGGGTCGCAGTGGATGCACAGCTGTTTCCATAACGGAGTTACATTTACTCCGATTTTTAAATACACTCCTTACTGAATTTGCAAAATACTTCAGGGTAGTGCAGATCTTCACAAACATGATAGTTGCAGCAAAACTGAACCTCTAGCCACCTGGACAATCCAGTAGCCAGGCAGTCACGGACCCTTGT